GAGCAAGAGCCTGTGGTGATGAAAGAGGAAGTTCAAATTGCTCTGGAGGAATTGGCAAAAAGCAAGGAGAGGGACATCATGTTTGGCAGAGTGGAGGGGTGGCGAAGGAGAGGAAGACCTTCGATGAGATGGATTGATTCTGTGAGTGGAGTGGTGGGAATGAGTGTGTTTGGGATGTCTAGGATGGCCCAGGATAGAACGGTGTTCAGAGCTCTTGTATATAGGGTTGCTATGAGTCGCAAGCGACTCGATGGCACATAACAGCAACAACAAACATATCCATTAAAGGCTGAGCTTCTCTAATGGTTCAAATCTGAGGGAATAAGTTGGGCAGTTTGCTGCTTCTGCAACTTCCAGACTCCAAAAATCTGCTGGAAGGTCTGCTATGAAACGACGCTGACTCAGCAGCAATTAGTTGAGGTGCTTTGAATATTACATTTAGGAATGGATAGTTTGTGGGAGATGGGATGGTGGAAACAGAAGTGGAGAAATAAAGGAGGTTCATATATATAACTGTTTCAATATAGTATCAAGTGTTCTCAAAACTTTCATGTGCATGTAGTTATTGTAGGATATGTGTGTAGCTTTGGAAGAACTAGGTCCCAGAGTAGCACAAGCAGTTTGTAGTCAAAAAGGGGACTCTGCTGTCATAGTCCATAATGAGTTTTTAATCCAAAGAAGTCACATGTTTTCTGTAACTCAAATCCATGAGGATCTCTGAAGGAGAAAAATGAGTTTTTCTACCCCTATTGTAACTTATAGTCTTGGGAACCCAGTGAAGGGTCACTCTGAGTTAGAACCCAATTGATGGCAGTGAGACTGACTTATGGTTAAGCCTATCCAGTAGTGCCTTGAAAGAAAAGCCTGGCAATCTGTTTTTGTAAAGATTACAGAAGGGAAAAAGCACAGTAAGAAAACTTTTACTCTTAAATAAAAGGGATCACCATGAGTCAGAAAGGACTTGATTAAAATAGGTTTTAATAAATCTTTTCTTTGACGGGGGGAGGATTGTTGATATCTTTTTATTCATTAGGGTTTATTTCACATTTTGCCAAATCACTCTTAGAAAGTTATCAATCCTATAGGAAGCCCCACTATACTCCCTGTCAGGTTTTTTGCTCCAAATCATTTTGCCATATTACTATTATTTGCAATTTAGAACCTCTTGACCAGCTCTGTCCAGGCTGTCTCTGTAATCTGTTTGTTCCTGTCACCACACCCATCTGAGCCTCCTGCCAGCACCAATTCAGAGGAGCATCCCCTGCACTCAGACCCTTCCATTCATTGAACATGGAGTTTCTCCTGGATCTGTCAGAGCTGGAGATGGGAAGAAGAATGGCTTCCTTGCTTTCAAGGAGCCACAGCTAGTGGGGATGTTGACTTACAAGCAAAAAACCTGCAAACTGTATTCCTAAAATTGTTTCTGACAAAAGGGCCTATATTGACAACAGATAATATGCCCTTGTTATCCCCAGCTATAAACAGTAGAAAATAAGTTAAATAACGAGTCATGGTTTTTGTCTTTTTCTGATTTTATTTAAACTAACCAATAAGTCAAAACTTAAATTTCCCTTTGAAATGTATATTTCCTAATTTCTCTGTTACATAGAGTTCCTTACAAAAAGATGTCTTAGTAGATTAAGTATAACAACTTCCTCCTCTGAGCAGTGCCCCTCTTTGTAACTAAAGGTGACCACATCCTATCTGGGTGTGTGCATGGATATTCTTCCTGAATTCAGATCTCATTGTATGACTTTCCCTCCAGTGAAAAGCAGTAGGTAGCCCATTATCCCCCCAATGACCATGGGGAACACTTACTTCTGTAGACCATCTTCTCCCTAAATCTGTTAAGAAAGAGTGTTTTCAAAGTAAGCAAGGAAGAAGAGGATAAATGTTTGATAGAAGCCCAAGATATACAAATTATGTTTCTTACTGTTGTTCTGCTTTCTGTTTAGCTACAAGAAAACACATGAGACTCTGAGTCACGCGGGGCAGAAGGCGACAGCAGCTTTCAGCAATGTCGGGACAGCCATCAGCAAGAAGTTCGGAGACATGAGGTACTGGGGCAAAGAACCCTGGGGGCAGTGTAAAGTTCTTGGATTTCTAGCAGAGGCTGCTTTACCTATTAGCTGGTCTCCATAATACACTCTTCTTATCAGGATTGTTATTAATGGGGTAAACGTCCATGTGACTGCTATAATGACTGTGATAAATTTTGCACATGAGATATTTTATGCCTAAAAGTAAACATTGGGCCCACTCCCAAAGGTGATACTTCTGACATCATTCAGACCCCATTTAATAAAAGAATAGAATCTGTAGGATGCTTTATAATCCCTTTTATCATTAGTAAATAGAGACTTCTAAGAATGAAGGATCTGCATGGAGTACAAAATGCTTTGAAACATTTTCTCAGTTACTATTTTGTAGGAGTCATTCTAGTATTTTCCCCCCAGTGCTATAGACTATGCAAAGGCTGTGTGGATAGTAACAAATTGTGTATAATGTTGAGAAGACTGGAATCTCAGAACATTTAATTGTGCTCTTGCAAAACATATACTTAGACCATAAAGCTGTTTTCTTTTTTCTTCTTTTTAGTCTGCTGCCGCCTAAAGCTGTTTTCTGAACAGAGCAAATATATACAAATTTCTTTTTTATTTCTAAAAAAAAATGTACCAAATGCTATATACTTTCTGGTTTTTTCTTTTATTTTAGCAATATACTGTGACTATATTAATAAACGGGCATTTGACTGTATGGATTGTGACAACTTATGGCTAACATTGAGAAGAAAGAGAATCCCAGAGCACTTAATTGTATTCATGAGAAACCCATACCTAAATCAGAAGGGTGTTGTTCTAACAGAGCAAAGGAACCCTGAATGTTTTAAAATTAAGAATGAAGTGCATCAGGGTTGTATTCTCTTTCCATACCTGTCCAATCTGTATACTGAACAAATTATTCGAGATGCTGGACTCCGTGAGGAGGAATGTGGTATCAGGATTGGAGATTCATTAATAACCTGCATTATGCAGATGATACAATCTTGCTTGCTGAAAGTGAGGACAACTTGAAGCACCTGTTGCAGAGGATTGCAGAATACAGCCTTCAATATGATTGTATCTCATTGTCAAGAAAATAAAAATTCTTACCACTGGACTGATAGGCAACATCATGATAGATGGAGAAAAGATTGAAACCATCAACAACTTCATCTTACATCAATAATTAACCTCCTTGGTACCAGCAGGCAGGTAATAAGGAGATATATTGCTCTGAGAAAGTCCACATTTAGGAACGTCTCTAAACTACTGAGGAGTAATGATGGCAGTTTGAGGACTAAGGTGCATCTGTTTCAGGCCTTGCTCTGTTTTATCACTTCCTATGCTTCTGAGAGATAGACAATGAATAGGGATGATAGAAGAATTGATGTCCCTGAGCTGTGGTGTTGGAGAGCACCGAACATCCCATGGACTGCTAAAAGAACAAATATGTCTTGGAAAGGGTGCAGCCAGAGTGCTCTTTGGATGCAAAGATGACGAGGCTTCACCTCACATGCTTTAGGCATGTTGCTAGGAGAGGCTATTCTTTGGAGAAGGATGTGATGCTCAGAAAGGTGCATGGAGGGTTGGTGAAAGAGAGGAAGACCCTTGACCATGTGGATTGACATGGTGACTGCTGCAGTGGGCTCTAGTGTGTCAGGAGGTGCAAGGATGGCACAGAATAGGGAAGGATTCAGATCTGTTGTTCATAGGGTCTCTATGGCTTGTATTCAACTCAGTGGCACCTAACGACATGTTGATAAAAGGAAGTTTGGTGGCATAATTCTTAGGGAGAAAGGCTCTAACCTCTTTCCATTGGAGTAAGACGCACCGTCTGCTCTTGTATAATTTGCAACCTCAAAAACTCAGTGGAACTGTCATAAGTTTTGTGGTGGTTTTTAAAATGTTAGTAAATACTCATTATACTTTCTTTTTTTAATGGCTATATAATCTCCCAGTATATTACTATAGCAGAACTATGAAATGAGTTTGTATGTGTTTGTTATCTCCATCATAATGTAAAACAAGGTAGATTTTTAACTGAGAATCAAATATTCTCACTAGAAACATGGGGGTTAGAATGGAATTTTTACTATTTTCATTTTTTATATTATATATTAGCAAGTTATCTTTCACAGAGTTACTCTGATTTCTTTTTCCTTTCCTTTTTTTCTTATTTAGTTTAATATTCATTTGTCTTATATGCTACAAGAGATTTTTCCTTGTTTTTGTTGTTATGTGTTGTTGAATCAAATACAACTCATAACGACTCTATGAATAACAGATACAGGGTTTTTAATTCATTTTTTAAAAACTTTTAAAATGTATTTTCTACTTCTTCTTTTAAAAAGAATCTGTGTGTATTTCTTTCACTGGATTCTTAAACTGTTTATTCCTAAAGGACCCTGCAATTTTGATACCTCAAGGCAAATATCTATATTTTGTGTCTAAACTGGGTTTTTTTAGTTCCAGAAATTGTGATATACTCAATATTCATGCATCAACTTAACAACTTGGGGCTTAGGGCTAAATAAGTACAGGTACATTAGTCTGAGTTTGTCATCTTTTCTTCATTTTACTACTGTTAACTTTTCAATGAAAAGTAACTGAAGTTCCTCCGAGATAGGGTGTGAGGAACAGGTAAACCTGGATTATTGCTTAGCCCTAAAATTATTACAAATAATATTTGCAGTAATTTTAATGGCCAAAACATTTATTTAAACAAATAATTTCTTAAAGTAGGAAGGACCATTGCTAAATATTTAGATCAAGGAATCTGCAGAAGAATCCTGATCAAAAGGGGGGAAATATAGAACATAATTTAAAATTCTAATGAGTTCTAGACTGGAGCAATGGAATATAGATGAAATCCTGAAATTATTACCCTTAGATAATCTTTTAACAAAAGTGTCCTCTAAAGTCTTCTTAAAATGAGAATTGAGCTTAACTGGTGAAAAATGTCTGCATTGAGCTCATTTAAGAACTAGGTTATATCTTGACCTCTTTTTAAGAACTCTCTGTATAGGATCAGATTGGCAACAGCCACTTGAAAGCTTAAATATTTATAAATATAGAATGTAAGCTGAATTTATATGTATGAAGGTGGAACAGAATAGTATCTATTTTGCTATATATTTCTCCACAACAAAGTAAATAAAATTTAGAAAAACGAACAAGGCAATTGTTGATAGGTAAAATCTTTCACTTTAACACAGTGACCACAGCACATACCTCAACTAGAGCAGTGTTTATCTAAAATATGTTACAGACAATTCTGAAGCTTGTTTACAAGACCTATTCCCATATTTCACCTCTCAGAGTTTATGATTCAGCAATTCTGGGGTGAAATCCATGACTCTGCATTCATAACAAACCCCCAGGTGATTCTGCCTCAGGTGGTCAGGTTAGGAGGAAAATTGTAAATTAGCTTGTCTGCACTTGAATGTTCTAATTTATAAAATAGGGTTGCTCAACATTATGGAGTATTTGTAAGAGCACCATGTGTTGAGCACTTAACAATTGCTAGTTTTCATCTTTATTAAGTAGCCCTCTTAGTTATAAGGTGTTCCCACATATTAGAAATTAGAGTTTACTAACACGAGTATTTCTTAAAACTCTGCTCATTTTTTTTAAGTAATAAAAAATGCAGCCAGTGTTTCACAGCTGCAAGGCAGTGGCAAAGTCATGTCTCTCCATGCTTGGGTGTAATAGCCATGTTGTGTTGATGGTTCTTCCCCTGGCTTGAAGATAAGAGTGAACCTGTTTCCAAGGATTTATAACTATTTGGTTAATTCTTGTTCTTCACCAAGGATTAAATGCTTTCGAGATAAACTGTGGCTAAAAATACTGGCAGAATGAAGGTTGGAGTCTACAGTGAGTTGTGGTACTAACTCAAAGGCTGTCTGTGGGTCCCCACCACCAAAACTCCCTGAATTTATTCAGAATGTGATCCAGGGGCTACAGGTCAGGGGTGGAGCATTTGCCTGTAGAATGGGATCCAGCACGATGAAATGTCTGGTAGCGGCACATACGTTTTTAAAAGCCATTCAGCCCCTCTCTAGATATCTCGCTATATCCAGGGAATGATGAGAACTAGTTGCTATGGCGTTAAATCTGACCTGCGGCAACCCCAGGGGTGTGCGAGTAGAACTACATCCCACAGGGTTTTCACTGGATTAGTTTCTACAGGTGGCTTCCAAGCTTCTCTTCCAAGGTGAACTCCCTTCTCTCTGCACACCTGAACTTCCAGCCTTTCAGTTAGCCACTATTTACACCATCTGGGGAACAACACTTCGAAAACTGGCAAAATAATCTTTAAGATGCATTGAAAAGTCAGTATCTTCAAAGAAAAGTAGGGGAACCCAGACCCACACCTTATTAAGTAAGGGATGGAATTACCAAATATTTCTTTGTTGTTATTATATAGTGTCAGGTTTGAACCGACTCCCACTTGACCCATCAGTGGGTTTTTAGAGGTACTTAAAATCGCAGGGGGAAGAGATTGTGTGTCATTCTCCCATGGAGGAGATGGTGGTGGATTCAAACCTTGTGCCTTTGAGTTGGCAGCTCAACTCCATACCACTAAACTAGCAACAATATTGCTGTAGAGCTCTTAGAAAAGGGTGACAGGAGCAGTGTGTTCGTTTCTTTGCACCCTAACATGCTAACTCTCTCCTGCTCTTCTCTCCTGTGCTGCCTGGCTGCAGATCTCACTCTATCGGGTAAGCTCCGTCCTGGACACGAGCAGGCCTTGGTCAGCTCCCCTGGGCCCTTTGGTTCCTCTCACACTGTGTCTCAACCACAATAACTTCTGCATTTTCTGGAGTTAATGACCCATTGAAATATACTTCTTGTTATTAGGAGCCCTCTAGGATGACCCTCAGCGAGATGGAGTGACACAGTGACTGCAGCAGTGGGCTCCAGTTGGTCAAAGAGGATGAGGATGGCACCGGCTAGGGAAGAGTTCGTATCTGTTGTTCACAGGGTCGCAATGAGTAGTACATAACACCTATCAA